CCCCCCTATCTTCGACTGCTTCTAAAGGTCAACCTTCTGTGCTTCGTTCTGGTTCCTATGCGGATAATGTTTCAACTCTAGCTGTTAAGTCGACCAACTTCCCCGTCTCCTTCGTTACCCCGGCTCCGAAGCTTTCCTTCAGAGGCAATGATCTTTCGGAAGGTGCTAATTTCTGGAACCTTTCGTTGGTGGGTTACTCGATCGACCCTCGCCCATACTACGAACGACTGCTTTTGGCTATGAAAAAGGTTTGGAACATCAAAGGTGGGATGTCTCTCCTTTCTCTTGCTGATGGATTCTTTCTCTTAAAATTTTCGGCTTTGGAAGAATTGGAAATGGTGTGGAAGGGGGGCCCTGGTTTTTGTTGGGAAAGCCTTTCATCTTGCAACGCTGGAACCCAAAGTTTAAGCCGGTTAGGGATGAAAATACCACTATACCCATCTGGATAAAAATTATGGATTTACCTTTGGCGCTGTGGACACCTTTAGGGATCTCCCGGATTGCTAGTTTCATCGGGGTTCTGATTTCTGTTGACACACTCACTGCCAATCGTACCAGACTCACCTTTGCTAGGGTGTGTGTTCACATCAATAAAAACTCTCCCCTTCCTGATGAAATACCCATCGAAATTGAAGGAGAAGACATGAATCTCAAAGTGCACTATGACTGGAAACCTTCCCCATGTGAAGGCTGTGGATCCCTTTTTCACCCGTTTTTTCTTTGTTCCTCAAACCCTAATCCAAAACCTATCATCCCACCTTCTGCTCGCCCGAGAGGTCGTAGCTCCAGCAGACATCCTATTCAGCGGGAACAACTTCCTACTTCCAAACCACCTCCTCCTCGTCCCACTTCTTTGGCTTGTGAGGCTTCTCTTGTGCCCTTGGATGGAATTCTTCCAAAACCTATTATTAATACACCTGTCATTTTGTCCCCTGAGCCGAAAAAATCGCCTACTATGCTTCCCGACTCCACAAAAGACCTTTCTTTACCCAATTTAAACCTTCCTATGGATGTTGCTTCCTCCTCGGAGCAGTCTACTCCACCTTCCTCTA